GATCCCTCATCTATTTCCCCATGAGGATAATTTTCAAGTTTAGCATAAATGAATTTAAATGCCAACTTTTAATATGCACTTTTGCATATTATAACTAAGCACACTTTGAAAATAAAATTCTAAAATTAGTTTTCATTAAATTAATTTGAAAATCTTTTGCATTCTCTAATGTTAAAACTTAGATTAAATGAAGTACCTAGCTTAGGAGGAAAAAGTTGAAAATGTCATTTCCATATCAGTATTTCACTACTGCAAAATTATGAGCCACTGTGGTTTTGAGTAGATTTTTTTGTTTATGTCTTAGTAGATCGAAATTCCTGTTAATTATGTACTTTCACTTAAAAAGAAATTGTTACCAAGAGTTCACGGGTTTTTTTTGGATTTAGAGCTAAGTTTCAGACAGTTCTGACACTTTCCTTGAGGGCTTCACTAGTGAATTCTTAAATCCTGTTTTCTTAATATTACTTTGGGAAATGATATGACAACTCTCTTGGGAGATGTAATGCATTACCATGACAAAGCTAATAATTGTATATGGTGCATTCTTTGTTTCTTTTCTTTATGTGAAATATACACACACATCGATATGACATATTTTAAGTATTATTCTACATGATTTAAATATGACTGATGACTAGTATCATTTATTATCTTTAGGAACCAAATAAAATCAATGTTTTTACTGCTAAAGTTAACACATATGATTGAATATCATATATAGAACAAGAGCAAGTTTTGCATTTAAATACATTGCTATTTTCAATAGAAAGTTATCAGAGTAAAATTTTCAAAACAACATTTCTGTATTATTAACATTTTGATAAATTATGTATGTAACTCATTGATTCTGATATGAATCTCACTAAGATATAAAGTGTTCTGAGTCTCAGGATGTAATACTGCATTACAAAGTCTAATAGAGTTTCTTATAAACATCATATAGTTGGTCTATTCTATTCTGATATATTATGTATGCTTAGTTTTAGTCTACCTTGTGAAAATACCATTCATGGATTCCATGCCATGATTATATTAGAATCTAAAATCTTATGCTTATATATAAAATGTTACTGTCATTCAGTAACTTAGCCTAAAATTCATTTTGCATTATCCCAGAGTAGTCTTCCTAGAAATTTTATAAAATAATACTAGGGCCCAACCATATGATAGATTATAAAATAAACATTTCTGGACAGAATCTAAAATGACGCTAAGGTACATCAACATCTATTGCAGTCATGGTTTACTGCATCGGGTTAAAGTTGTGGTCTCTGAAGTTTATAGTACTATTTCTGTATTCTCTAACCTGGAACAACCCAGAAAATTCTCTAAGCATTGATTCTTCACATGTAATCTTGATAGGTTTTGGCTTTAGAAAGCATTGAATGAGTTAAAATATACAAACTGATATAGCAACCATGCCTAACACATTTTAAGTTAAGTGTTTGCTTTGCTATTACTATTATTTGTATTAAAGGTGTAGGATGGAATTTGGGGCCTGAATTTCTTCCCTGCTGTGGCTCTGACAGAAAGAGTAGTGCCATAGGAATCCATAGCGAATGAAGATCAGAACACTTGATTTGTTCTTAGGAAGGCTGAATGGGGAATCAAACTGGAACTCAAGGCCAAATGAAGTTTCTCCAGGAATTTGAACATGTCTTATGAAGTCAGATATATGACTGTACTCTTTACTAATGGGGTTGGTTGCTACAGAATGAAGAATCTCTTTCTAGTGATGGTAGGCAGGTCTGAGGGAAAATTATTTGCTTTTATATAACTGTATTTTAAAGTGAGTATTTGCATATATAATGTACAAAATATATGTATATGGGCTGTTTTATATCTTGATTATACTTCAATACTTATAATTAATAGCTCCTATTCCTAAATGACTGAAGTGGTGACAAGGTGATGACACTTGATAGAAGAGAAGTGCTGGAAAGAAGTGAGAAGGAACTCTACCGGGTCAGGTGGCCATCTAAGTAGGAATGTGTGTGTGTGTATAAATTATATATATATGTATGTGTTTAAATATATAATTTTTTCTTCAACTATGATAACTAAACACTAAATTCCCATCATTCTTGTGTGTGACTAGTATGCTTTCCCTCTTCTGAGATAAAGGAAATATGTATACACAACACACATATACAGCATTCTTCATATAAAATAGATTACTTATAAAAGTAGTGGTGACAGAAAACATTTTGATTATGCAGACTCCAAAGGAGCATTGAATCCAAATTTGTTCTCTAAGGCACTCACTCATAATAAACAATCATTTAAAATGTCTGTTGCTGATGCTAAGCTATGAAGGCAATAAAAAATTAGATATGCTTTTACATTCACAGATCTTGGAGTTTACTGGAACCTAAATATCTATAAGATGAAAGATCATGCCTTTCATAAAAACAGCACTTAAAAGTAGCCTGAAGACCAAGAACTTCTCCCCATTCTGTCTCTGGTGAATCCTCTCACTCCTCTCACCCACCCCACCTCCAGATTTACTTTCAGCTTTGGGGAGAATATCTAAAGGAAAGCTTTAAGAAGGAGCAACAACGGTCTTCCTGATGACACAGGGATTAAAATCTCAGAGCTATCAAGTATTGCCAGCCTTTGGAGCATAAGTCCTATCCCCCACCAGTGAGCTGACCCACATGGCACAGCAGACCTCTCCCATCTTGCCTGCTGCTCCCCTCAGCAGTGTATTTCAGTAGATCCACCTGTCTGCTCCCCATTCTGTCTCTGGTGAATCCTCTTACTCCTCTCACCCACCCCACCTCCGTACCCCAGTATGCATAAATTAAAGGAATAAATCTTTTTTAAAAAGGAGTGACAGATAAAAGAGACACAAAAACAGCAATTTTATGTGAGTATAATGGAATACAGTGAATAACATTCGGAATAGAATGAAATGAAGTAGCTATCTTTGACTGGAGTGTATCACTTATGACAATTCAGGTGGGAGAATAGGTGGATTTAAACTGCAAAGTGCTGGATGAGACTCTGGGACACCAGAGGACCCTTAAAAGACAAGTCACTACATCGTTTTGAAAATCATAAACCCAGATAAGATTTCCATTATTTAGTGTGCGTGATTCTTATAATCACCTATTACCAAACACAGTGTCTTAGAATTTTAATGCAAATTCCTTTAATCGTTTAAGGATTAAGTTACCACAGTACAAATTGAGCAAGACAAGAATTAAGAAATGGTCTAAAAAATTACTTAACATTTTGGTTACAAGATATGTGTAAGAGTTTATGGCTTCACACAAAATTTCATTCTACTTCTAAGAAGAGTCCATTGCTACCCTCCTTGGGAGGGTGGGGGGAGAATACAAACTATACTTAAATTATATATTGTTTAGAGAGATTAGCAACTACTTCTTTCCCAAGGTCCTTTTTGTAGTCCTTTCTAATGAGACAATGCAGGAATTTCTCTTTTCAGTTTATTATCAAGCACTTATAAAATGACACACAATTTTTAAAAAAATGATAAAAAGCAGTTAGGTATGAAACATATCTTACAGTGGAATGTTAGGTAAGAGAATAAATATTTTGTGAGAAATGCATTTTTATATTCCAGTTGCTGTAATACACAAACATTAACAGAACATTTTGGGAGTTTGTACTATCAGAAATATAATGTTCTGAAAGCACGTCAAATGTCAAAGCAGGTTGATGCTTATTTTTTCCTTTAGTCAGTAATCCCATGTGGCTAAAACTTCAACAAAAGGAGTTAATGGATATATTTTGTTACGTCCATTGAGTGATACTTGTTTGACAATGAAAAGCTAATACAACACTTGTTTTTTGCACTAAATTTATTTTGTGGCCTGGAGTGGCTTTTAACCTTCTTTAGAAAAAAAAAATATATATATATAGCTATGCACACAATTAATCCTTATATTCTACAAATGACAACATGCCTTTTATTTAGAACATTTCATCTAATGGCCTTATGTCATTTTCTGTGAGTACAAAGGCTTGTTCCAGATTTCACTCATTATCTTCTGAGATAAAGTTGTCCTTATAAATTAACCAAGTGTGGTGTAGAAGGGCAGGGAGAAAATAGAATGACTTTTCCTCCAAAAGGAAAATTTAAACCAACTAATTTTGGCATTAGCATTTCATTTCCTCTTATTTGCTGGTTTTATGATATTAATATATTTTAAAGTTTGCTATTTAATCAAGAACAGCAAGTCTAATGAACTTTAATATATTTCCATGCATTGAAAATTAAATTGTGATAATAAAATGTCAGATAACACAATAATAATAAATCTATGCATTCACTTTTCCTTTATTTTGTCTGCTTTGGGTTTCTTGATAGGCCCTTTGTGTTCTCTAACTCAGTGTTTTTACATTAATTCTTGTTAGTTCTTTTTACTATTTTGATATACTTATTTATTATCTAAATTTATGAAGATCCAAGCTTGCAAGTATCTCTCTTCTTGTTGACCCGTATTTTGGGGTTTTATTTAGTATGATTTTTTGCACTATAAACCATACAACAAAAGAACGGATAAATTAAAACTGTGACCCTAATTCATGATAACATAAAAACATCTCATATAGCCCTGAATTCATTTTATTGTATTCTTGTTTGCCATTCCTAGTATTTACATTAAATTTCTCAAAAGCTAACAATGGTAATTAATAGCATTGTTTAATCTTCTGTTATTCAGTTCTCACCTTATACAATCATATGAATAAAAACAGAAAATGTTTCAACACAAATTTCTTTTAGCACAATTTGACTAATGATTAAATGCTGACCACTGCTTTTTTATCCCTCTTTCCTCGAGGATACTGAATTCACCTGTTCAAACATTAGACAGTGCTAACCCAACACTTTTCAGTTTTGAGATGAACAAATCAATAAAATATTCTCATCTTCTTTTCCCACAGCTGGGTCAAAGTCTTTAAATCAAGGTCAGATCTGTGACCCTCTCTAACATACATCTAGGAGTTAATCACACTCTGGTTGGTCTACAGTTGCAAGTGTGAGAAACAATGTTTCCTGAGGATCTCATTTTTTCCTAAATAAACACATTAGTTCATGAGTACATCTTCTAAAGCATGTAAAAGATTTGAAGTAATGCCTCATTTTATTCATGAACATCTCCCTGAAGTGGTCTCCCATCAGGAAATAAAAGACAGGATTGACGACACCATTCAGAAAGGCCAAAGGCCGAGTCATAATGTATAAGGAGTGGATGATGACCTCTGTACAGTCAGACTTCCTCAAGTTCTCCAGACGCGAAGCAATCCTCACGTTCCGCATGATGTGGTAGGGAGTGAAGAGCACCGAGAAGATCACAACCGCCATGATGACTAAGTTGAGAGGCTTTTCAATGGGCAAAGCAATAGCAGCCTGCTTGTTCCTCTCCTTTAGGAAAAGAGCAATCTTGAAATAAAAGAAGCACATCACTAAAAGAGGAATGAGGAATCCCAAGAGGGTTAGACACAGGCTATAAATGAGGTTCAGTTGGGCAGCCCCAGAACTTGCATAATCATTGCAGCTGGTGCTATTGCTACCAGAGGAAGGATTTATGAAAAGAATTATCGGTAGTAACTCTAAAGTCACTAGAAGCCAAATGGCCACAGAGAATATAACAGCAAGCTCCTTCTTTTGCAGAACGTGTTCCCGGAATGGATACTTCATGAGCATATATCGATCGATGCTGATGAAAGTGAGGAAAAGAATGCCGGTATAGAGATTGGCGTGAAGCATGTATCGGTTGATTATGCAGAGCTCATTCCCATATGTCCACTCTCCCCAGGCATAACTTTTTATCAACATAGGCAAGGTACAAAAGAAGATCAAATCAGAGATAGAGAGGTTGAAGAGATAGATGTTGCTGCTGTTCCAGTTCTTCAGGCAGAAGAGGTAGCCAAAAACAACCACCATATTCCCAGTAACTCCCACCACGAACTCAAGCCCATAAAAAATGGGAAGGTAGTACTTTTCCAGGGCAGCCTCTGCTGCCTGCCAGTTCTTGCAAGTTGCATTCGGTATCTAAAGAAAATACATACACATGTGAGTAAAATACTAACCTACAATAAAAGGCAGTAACTGTGCTTAACTAAGAATAAAAAGCCCCACTTAAAAGTTAAACTGAAATGGGCATTCTGAGTGGGCCCTCCCAGGTTAAAGCACAGCACCATGAAGCTATCCAGCCACTGTAGCACGAGTTCAATCCCCACCAGGGGGGTGATCCACATGGCATGGCAGACCTCTCCTGTCCCATTTGCTGCTCCCCTCAGCAGTGTACTTCATCACTTTGCCTGTTCTGGCCTGTACCCCAGTTTTGTATGCATAAATGGATAAATCTTTTTTTTAAAAAAGTTAACTTGAGAGTAGCTTACATTAGTAAATAGCATGTCTACACACCTAATCGTATGTGAACAATATATTATTCCAGCAAATATTTATTGAACACTTTTTTTTCAACTTCACATGTTTGTTGGAAATGCACATAGGGTTAAAACAATGAATGAAACGCCATTTTTTCCTTCAGAATTAAAGCTCTTATATTAAAGGGGGATAAACAATTGTGACAGAAGCTCTGACATCATTTTTTTTATTTATAAATTTAGCAATTCATGGTTGCCTTATCTCCTAGAGGATAAAACTAATGAAAGGATGAATGATTTCACATAGGTCAAGAAAGTCGAAACTAGATATGTTTTGAATAGTCACTAAATAAAGTACAGTTTTTTTTATTGCTCCAAGTACTTCTGAAGTTTGTGCTGGGACTGGGGATAACAGCCAATGTAAACCAAACAAAGACCCTATTCTCAAAAAAATTATAGTCTCTTGGGAAGAATTAGGGTATAAGCAAGCAAAGGCATGCAGCAAAATGATAATGTTTCAGATATCATGAAAAGCACATGCAAATGTGTTGAGATGGAAACACAAATAGAAGAGACAAACAGCAAAGAGGTCAAGGGCAATGTAATGAAGTCAGTGAAGAGGGGCATCCACATTCACGGTTGTGTCCCTGGGACCCCAGATCTTTCATACTCTGTGAGTTAAATAGAATTGAATCAAACCCAGAAGTGGGAACTGGGATTGTTCTAACTCTAGTTTAGCTATGAATAGCTTCACTTTGTTTTCATGCTGTTAAAGAATCGTGCTTATTATATTAAATTTATAGAATCCAAGTTCATTTTAAATTATATTTTT